GCAGCTGAAAGCACACAATATAGGCCTTCAGGATGGAAAGTGGGACATATGTCACATTTACCAACCCCTTCCTTTCCTAAATGATCACAACGAGTGATTGGTACTCACTGTGTTCATTCATAACTGAAGCATAATGAACTGTGTTTTTTTGGGGTGGGAGGGGGACCTGTATGGGGCCCCGTGGTTTCTAACAGTAGCCCTGACCTCCAATAACAGTTTGCGAATCTTGTAAATGAAGCAAGCTCTGCTTTATTTGTGTATAATCTCAGTGTTGGATTGTATGGGTTGCACACAGATAAGAGTCTGTGGTCTACAAAATCAACCTCAGTTTGTGCAAAAACTTATTTTTCTCTGTTTGGGATGAGGTTGTATTCCTTCAGTCAATGAAAGACTTGAGTAAGGATTGACTTGTGTTCCTCCAGAGATGGCACATGGATAAGGATATCATCCAAATAAACTGATACCCCAGGTATTCCTACAAAAATAGTGACCATTATTATTTGGAAACAGCTCCAAGTTGAGCAGACCAAAAGGGAATGTGTTTAAAAAAGTCCCAGATGTGTAATGCAAGATGTTAAAGTGAAACTTCAGTCAGAAAATTAAGTATCTGCTAGATCATTTTAGGCTGGCCCCTTTTCCAGGTATAGCTATGTAAAGCATTATAAATAAGTGCCTATACAGTTCAAAATCCAGTAATACACTGTCACACCATGCACATGCTCAGTTGCATTCTATTTTTTGGCACTGTGCTGAATTTGTAGAAGCTCATCTGCTGACATCCTAAAGATTTACTGCTGCTCAGGGGCTCTGGGCTTCAGCATAATGGCAGTCTTCGGCAAGAAGAAACAGGAGCAATGCTGGAGGCAATTTACAGCGCACACTAATTTTGGTAGCATAATTATTAATGTGGAAAGTTTGTTTCTTGCTAAAGAACATTACTTTGTATCATGTTGTTATGGATAAAGTTCCACTTTAAGTTTCCTGGCCTCCAATGCAAGTGGGATTTATTAACCATTAGCCGCCCGGCCAATGGCCATTTGGCGGCCGCAAAAGTGCTTTAGCTTTCGGGAGCACGCCATTTGGTGTGCTCCTGCACATGCGCAGTTCGCGCGGTTGCAGAGCCGCGCAGCGGTGCAATCTGTCACCGGCCGTGTACATCGGACACGGCCAATGACAGATCTGAGTACCGGCCCCCGTTGCTGGTACCATGTGACTTGCTGTGACCAATCACAGCAGGTCACGACAGTTGTATACAATGGATGGCTTTATTCATGCCATGCATTGTATACTAGTGCCTAGCTGTGAATGGTCACAGCTAATCACATGCACATGTCATGTGATTAGCTGTGACCAAATCACAGCTAAGCAAAAAAAAAAAATATATAATAAAAAATTAAAAATAATAAAAAAAAAAAAATATATATATATTTTTTTTTTTTCATACTGTCACCAGTCAGTGTCCCTGTTCACCGCCATGCCAGTTATATGGTAATGCTGTACTGCACTGGTGACAGTATGTAAAAAAACAATAGTGAAAATAATTTTTTTAATTTTTTCCTTTTCCGAAAAATTATGACAAACAAAATACAACTTCAAAAAACTCGCCATTCCTCTTATGAAGTACGTCAGACTGTCTACTCTGCAAAAAGGGGTCATTTGGGGGATATCTGTACTATTTTGACATTCTTGGACCTCAAGAAATTAGATTGGCCGTCAGTACTTCAGGATTGATCAATTTTCAGATATATCCCATAGTTTATGAACTCTATAACTTTCCTACAAACTACAAAATACATCCTAATTTGGGTTATTTTCACCAAAGACATGTAGCAGAATACATCTCGGCCTAAATTTATGAAGAACAATTATTTATTTGTAAGCTTTTATAACAGAAACAAAGAAAAACGTTTTTTTTTTTTCAAAATTTTTGGTATTTATTTGTGATTTAGCAAAAAAAATAAAAACCCCAGCAGTGATTAAATACCACCAAAAGAAAGCTCTAGTTGTGTGAAGAAAATGATAAAATTTTAGTTTGGGTTCAATGTTGTATGACCGCGCAATGGTCATTCAAAGTGTGAGAGCGCTGAAACGTGAAAAATGGCCTGGGCAGGACAGTGTAAAATTGCCTGGTATTGAAATGGTTAATAGACTTTACAGAGGTCTAGTTTAGTGAAGACTTTTGACTTTTGACCTGTGGCAGGCAGTGAGTAACAGTCTGATATTTTTGCTTTCTTTACTAGGTGAAGGGCAACACAAATGTATCCTCCTTCCTTGTTAGCGATGACTAGGTTGTAAGCCCATGGGGAGAGTCAACAGGTTCTATAACATCCTCTTGCAGGCGTTTTTACAGTTCTTCCTTAAGCATGGCTCAAACTATTAAGAAAATACATCTTTATACAGTATGCATCTTTATATATTGGCCATAGAACACCTGGAAGTGGCCATCCGTAAAATTCCAGACATGCAGGGGTTTTCCATTGGACTGTCTCCTTGTAAAAAATGGGACTACGTGTCGACGACCTGTTATATATTTCTAATCCATGAGTTGCTTTCCCCCATTTATTAGCTGAGTTTTATAAATCTGGGTCATTTGGTAATTTCAAAGTTAATTATTGTAAGTCGAAAGTGTTGAACATCGCCCTGGCAGAGGGGGAGGCCAGAGCACTGTGGCAGAATTATGCTTTTCACTGGCAGGATCAGGCCCTTACTTACTTGGGGATCCAGATACATAGTGACCTTACCCACTTATATTCATTAAATGACCTATCTTTGTCAGAGAGTACTGTGGCTCATTGGAAAACCTGAGCTCCTCTTCGAGATTCTTGGTTTGGCTGGATGGCATCATTCAAAATGACATTACTTTGTTTTCTTTAGTTATTTTAAAACAGTCCCAGTGTTTATTCCTCTGGCTTATTTTGCTCATTTATGGTAGGCACGACTGATATATTTGGGGCAGTAAGCTCCTTGTTTGAGATATTATATATTAGTTTGGCGCAAAGCCTCGAGAGGTGTCGGTCTTCCTTATTTGACATTATATTATAAATCACCTCTTTTGATGAAAATGATCGATAGATGCCATAATGTTGCTCATAAGCTTTGGGTCACTATTGAGGAGGAAATCTTTCCTACCCTGATGTTATTATTATTATAAAACAGGATTTATATAGCGCCAACAGTTTGAGCAGCGCTTTACAAAATGAAGGCAGACATTACAGTTACAATACATTTGGTACAAGAGGAAACAGAGAGCCCTGCTCGTAAGAGCTTACAATCTAGGAGGGATTCTTTTCTTTGGATACGACCCAAAACAGCTCCAAGTCAACCATTCTTACTTTCAGTCTTCCACCGTTACTTAAACTGTGGGACTCTGGGATAAATTATTCTACACTGTCTAAGTCCCACATGGAAGAAAAATATATTTGAAATATATTTTAAAAATATTCTTCCCAAATATATTGACATATACTTGAAATACTACAATTTTGGCCATATTCAATAAATTTTGAAAAATATATATATATATATATATATATATATATATATATATATATATATACACACATTTATATATATTTCAAAATAAATATATATATTTATACATTAAAAAATATTTTTAAAAATATATATTTTTTTAATATATTCTTCAGATTTTTTTTAACATATAAAAAAGTAATTTTAACATATATTTTTACATATATTTGTAAATGCATTCCAAAAATTTTGATTTGAATTTTTAAAGACATACATACAGACACACACACACACACACACACACACACACACATTATATATATATATATTGTATGTCGAAATGCATTTTTATTACAAAATATATGAAACATATTTTTTAAAATATATTTCAAATATATATATATATATATATATATATATTTGAAATATATTTTAAAAAATATGTTTCATATATTTTGTAATAAAAATGCATTTTGACATACTATATACAGTTGCAAGAAAAAGTATGTGAACCCCTTGGGATTACGTGGAGTTTTGCATGAATTGGGCATAAAATGTGCTCTGAACGTCATCTAAGTCACAACAATAGAAGAACACAGTCTGCTGAACATAATACTACACAAACATTAGATGTTGCCATGGTTTAATTGCACATAACATGTAAACATTCACAGTGCAGGGAGGAAAAAGTATGTGAGGTCCTAGCTTAATGACTTCTCCCAGAGCTAACTGGAGCCAGGAGTGAGCCAACCTTGACTCCAATCAGTGTGATGATATTGGATGTGTTGCTGACAGCTATCCTGCCCTTAAAAAACACACACCTGTTTTGGGTTTACTGGTTTCAAGAAGCACTGTCTGATGTGAACCATGCCTCGCAGAAAAGAGCTCTCAGAAGACCTACGATCAAGAATTGTTGACTTGCATGAAGCTGGAAAGGGTTACAAAAGTATCTCCAAAAGCCTTGATGTTCATGTGTCCACGGTAAGACAGACTGTCTACAAATGGAGAAAGTTTAGCACTGTTGCTACTCTCCGTAGGCGTGGTCGTCCTGTAAAAATGACTGCAAGAGCACAGCGCAGAATGCTGCATGAGGAAAGAAGAATCCCAGAGTGTCCGCTAAAGACCTACAGAAATCTCTGGCACATGCTAACATTTTTGTTGACACATCTACAATAAGGAAAACATTAAACAAGAATGGAGTGCATGGGAGGACACCACGGAGGAAGCCATTGCTGTCCAAAAAGAATATTGCAGCTCGTTTGAAGTTTGCAAAAGAGCACCTGGATGTTCCACAGCACTACTGGCAAAATATACTGTGGACAGATGAAACCAAGATTGAGTTGTTTGGGAAGAACACACAACACTATGTGTGGAGAAAAAAAGGCACAGCACAATAACATCAAAACCTCATCTGCACTGTAAAACATGGCGGAGAGAGCATCATGGTTTGGGGCTGCTTTGCTGCCTCAGGACCTGGACGGATTGTTGTCATTGATGGGAAAATGAATTCCAGAGTTTATCAAGACATTTTGCAGGAAAAAACGTACGACCATCTGTCCGCCAACTGAAGCTCCGCAGAGGATGGGTGATGCAACAGGACAATGACCCAAAGCATACAAGTAATGCAACAAAACAATGGCTGCAGCAGCACAGAATACGCCTTCTGGAGTGGCCCAGTCAGAGTCCTGACCTCAACCCGATTGAAATGCTGTGGCATGACCTTAAGAGAGTGATTCACACCAGACATCCCAAGAATATTGCTACACTGAAACAGTTTTGTGAAGAGGAGTGGTCCAAAATTACTCCAGATCGTTGTGCAGGTCTGATCTGCAACTACAGGAAACGTTTGGTTGAGGTTATTGCTGCCAAAGGAGGGTCAACCAGTTATTAAGTCCAAAGGTTCACATACTTTTTCCTCCCTGCACTGTGAATGTTTACATGTTATGTGCAATTAAACCATGGCAACATCTAATGTTTGTGTAGTATTATGTTCAGCAGACTGTGTTCTTCTATTGTGACTTAGATGACGTTCAGAGCACATTTTATGCCCAATTCATTCAAAACTCCACGTAATCCCAAGGGGTTCACATACTTTCTTGCAACTGTATATATATATATATATATATATATATATATATATACACACTGTATATAGATATATATATTGGAAGCTTGCACAGTCATAGTGCACCACTGTAAATCTGCCGTTAGTCCCACGATCGCAGAGCAGGCCAAAGAACTATGCCATCTTATGCTTATGGAAGAAATGCCAATGCTGCTTCATGAGACAACTAAAGCTCATTTTGATACATGGTGTCCCTTTATGTGGACTTGGATAACTTCAAATCACACCTATAAAAGTAATCACAAACACCAGCGCCACAGAAATATATAACCCCAAATATACATATTGGTATGAACTGCTGCTGTACAGACGTGCAATGCACCAAAAAATAAAAAAAAACAATATAAACAGCGCAAATCCAGAACCTAAAAGGATAAAAAAAATACAAATGAATAATAATTAAGAAATTAAGAATAATAATTAAGAAATAATTAAGATTATAATCCCACTCAAATAATTGTGAAATTAAAAAAGTGTCCAGCAAAACATAAAGTCCTTATTCCCCAAAAAATGTTTTTTAAAAGTGTTTCCACCAAAAACCAAAAGAAACAAACATATTAGTCCTTCTCCCAAAGAGTTGGTTCTTTTGTTGTTTTTAATGTGCTTCCACCATCTACTAGTGCTTAAACCAACATAAACCGCACTCACCGGATACTGGTGAACTGAACGCCTTTTAGGACTTTTAGGGATCCTATACCCTCCTTTACAGCCTCCAGAACTCCATTCCACCACATGAGACCTTGAGTTCTCCTTCTAATACCTCCCGACTTCACCTTCCAGACAGACTCCAAGGCAGTGTAAGAAAAGAAACATATATAGTGTAATATTGCTAATACCCGCATATAGTGCTATGAATAACACCAGGCCACTCACATTTTAAAAGATAAAATAAAGCATTATTTATTGCCTCCAACTGCCTCTCATAGTTTCCATATCATCCAGGACAGCATCAGAAACCTCACAGCCTTGGCAGAGGGTGACAGAGTGTTTCTCTATACAAGCACAAAGATGGCCGCTTGGAACGCACAGCTACGGCGTGCGCTCCACTCACCGGAAGTTGCGTAGGACGTTAGGCAGCAGACCAGCAGACCTCTCTAGCAATACAGACGGCAGACCTCTCTAGCAATACACAATTTTTTACAAATTGAGCATGTGCAGAGTGACTCCACACGATATGTCTTATCAGTAGATAAGAGGGGAGCACTGGAAGAAGAGGAGGATCAGAGAAGACAGGATAAAACAGCGTTTTTTTACACATTGCAGAGGATTAACTCCTTAGGTTCCACAGTAAGTATAACAAGCATGCTTTACTGCATATACAGACTGATTGTACTGTTGTGGGTTTAGTAACACTTTAAAGGGAACAAGATGACAGGAGGAATTTTTTTGAAGATTTGGATGTATACGAATCTCTGAATGGACATAGTAATGTCAACGAATATGAAAAAAAAACTAAATTAACAAATGCATTAGCTTCATTCGTTTCATTCATATGACATCACATGGTGTGATGGTAGTTCAAGCCCATTTGAAAAGGAATTCAGTTTTCAAATTTGTTTGATATATTGCATTCCAGTAAATGTGTGATTTTAATTGAATTTGTAATTGTCACAATCAGTCAGTTCAGTTCCACAGTCTGGAACGTGGCATGGGTGTTGGTGTCAGAAGGACTGGTCCCAGTATTTAAAGACTGCTGATCTGCTGGGTTTTCACACACAACCATCTCTAGTGTTTAGATAAAGGTCCAAAAAAGAGAAAATATCCAGTGAGCAGCAGTTGTGTGAATGAAAATGTCTTGTTGATGCCAGAGGTCAGAGGAGAGTGGGCAGACTGCTCGAGCTGATAGAAAGGCAGGAGTAACTTAAATAAGAACTCGTTACAACCAAGGTATGCAGAATACAATCTCTGAACAAACAACATGTAGAACCTTGAAGCAGATGGGCTACAGCAGAAGACCACACCAGGTGCCACTCCTGTCAGCTTAGAACAGGAAACGGAGGCTACAATTCGCACAGGCTCACCAAAATTGGACAATAGAAAATTGGAAAAAACGTTGCCTGGTCTAATGAGTCTCGATTTCAGCTGTGACATTCAGATGATAGGGTCAGAATTTGGTGTAAACAACATGAAAGAATGGATCCATCCTGCCTTATATCAACGGTTCAGGCTGGTGGTGTAATGATGTGGGGGCAGGGGCGGACTGACAACTCATGGGGCCCCCGGCAATAGGGGATCATGGGGCCCCTGTGTCCTTGCCCAAACTCAAAAAAGCCTATGAAAAGCCTATGAAAAAGGTACCAGGGGCATCTCATGGGGCCCCCTACTGACCCCAGGCCCTCGGGCAGTGCCCGAGTTTCCAAATGGTCAGTCCGCCCCTGTGTGGGGGATATTTTTTTGGCATGCTTTTGGCCCCTTAGTACCAATTTAGCATTGTTTAAATGCCATGGCCTACCTGAGTATAGTTGTTGACCATGTCCATCCATCCCTTTATGATCACAATATACCCATATTGTGATGGCTACTTCCAGCAGGATAATGCACTGTCACAAAGCTCAAATCATCTCAAACTGGTTTATTGAACATGACAATGAGTTCCCTGTACTCCAATGGCCTCCACAGTAACCAGATCTCCATAGAGCACCTTTGGGATGAGGTGGAATGGGAGATTTGCATCATGGATGTGCAGCCGACAAATCTACAGCTACTGCGTGATGCTATCATGTCAATATGGGCCAAAATCTCTGAGGAATGTTTCCAACACCTTACTGAATCTATGCCAAGAAGAATTAAGGCAGTTCTGAAAGCAAAAGGGGGCCCAATCCAGCACTAGCAAGATGTACATAATAAGGTAGCTGGTGAGTGTATATAGAGTTTTAAAAGAAAAAAAAGAATGGGAGAAAGTCGGTTGGTTGGAGGAGATAAGAAGATTTTGTATGCCCAAAGATGGGCTATAATGAATAAGGAGAAATCCCATTCAGATTCCGTTGCTAAACTGGCTTTCCATGTCCACCTTACTTGTAAGTGAAGGAAACTTTGAGGGCAGGAATGACAAGTACAGCTAGAGGTCAACTGTTATGACAAATCATTTAGGAACTCATTGTAAATTTGTATACACAAAGTAATTGTTTGTGTCTGGTATAAGAGTGCTATTGAGGTAATAAGAATGCTGGGTTCATTAGATTCTAGGAATTTCTCTTATGGCATACTGCAAAAATAAAAGAGTCATTATGCTTTGTAATTGTTTTGAACCTTCCATTAAAACTAACTTTTACTAAATAATGTACATTATTTTTCTGAATTAAAAGCCTAACAATGACCAGAGCAATTAGCTGAGAGGAAACTCCATAATTACAGTATTTAAGACACATATTAAGTGGTAAGAAGGGCACACCAGTCTCGTGCATTACCTTAAGCACCATTTATTGAATAGAGAATAAAATAATACTCACAAAAGTCTTGTAGTCACGAACTTGCAAAATCACTAAAACATCAGCCTCTGGACATCCAGGTTCGCGAATTGCTCTTGTTTTTGCCATGGAGTATCATCCAGGTCCTTGATTAAAAATCCAAGTTCAAGAACTGCTCCTGTTTTTGCAGTAAAGTCTTGTCAACGTTCTCTTATTAAACATCCTGGTTCAAGAATTGCTCCTGTTTTTCCCATGGAGTATTGTCCAGGCCCTCTTATTCAACATCCAGGTCCAAGAATTGCTCTTGTTTTACCCGTGGAGTATCATCAAGGTCCTCTTATTGAACATTCAGGTCCAAGAATTGCTCTTGTTTTACCCGTGGAGTATCATCAAGGTCCTCTTATTGAACATCCAGGTTCAAGAATTGCTCTTGTTTTACCCGTGGAGTATCGTCAAGGTCCTCTTATTAGACATCCAGGTTCAAGAAGTGCTCTTGTTTTCGCCGTGGAGAATCATCCAGGTCCTTTTATTGAACAATGTTCAAGAAATGTTCAGAGTTGGTATTTTAGTGGTTTACAAGCCAGAGACTACATGACTTTTGTGAGTAGTATTTTATTCTTTTATCAATAAATGGTAGTTAAAGTAATGCACAAGGCTACACGACCCTTCTTGTCGGTCTGTTATTTAATTCCAAGGATCTCCCCAATCTGAGGAGGGCAGCAAAGCCTGAATCTTATCCTAGCACTTTACTGAAGCATAGAGCCAGCAAGTCCTTTTGTTCTGTGACTGTCTTATTATTATTATTATACAGTATTTATATAGCGCCAAAGGGTTTGCTCAGCGCTGTACAATAGCAAGGGGGACAGAACATGAGACAAGACAGAAACAATACAATACACGAGGGGTTCGAGGGCCCTGCTCTTTCGAGCTTACAATCTTGGAGGGAGGGAAAGTGGTACAGGAGGAAATGGCTGTGGGTGATGGAGTGGTGGAAGGAGTGGAGGAGGTCAGTTGTTAGGTGAGGGTGGGGTAGGCTTCCCTGAAGACGTGGGTTTTCAGGGTGCGCCTGAAGGTGAGGAGGGTAGGATTGGGTCTGATGGATTGGGGTAGGGAGTTCCAGAGAAATCCTGCAATCGGGCGTGGGAGGAGGAGATCAGGGAGCTAGAGAGTAGGAGGTCCTGTGAGGAGCGAAGGGCACGGGTAGGGTAGTATTTGGGTATCAGGTCGGTTAGGTATTTTGGGGCGGCGTTTTGAATGGCTTTGTAGGTCAGAGTTAGCAGTTTGAATTTGATGCGCTGGGCAATCGGGAGCCAGTGAAGGGATTGGCAGAGGGGGGTGGCAGATGTGGAGCAGCTGGTGAGGTGGATGAGTCTAGCCGCTGAGTTCAGGATAGACTGGAGTGGGGATAGCGTTTGTTTGGGTAGGCCAGTGAGAAGGGAGTTGCAGTAGTCCAGGTGTGAGATGATGAGGGAGTGTACGAGTTGTTTAGTAGTGTCTGGGGTGAGGAATGTACGTATCTTGGAGATGTTGCGGAGGTGGAGCCTGCATGATCTTGATAGTAATTGGACGTGAGGTAGGAAGGAAAGGTTCGAGTCTAGGGTGACACCCAGTGTCAGGGCTCCCAGGTGTGACCAGAGGTGTGTGGCTGACGCAGGGAAACGCAGACCTCAGATATGTTATAAACAATATAATTTATTAACACTAACAATACAAACATAAACGCAGTGCAATACTAAAACATAATACAGTGCAACCAAACCAAACCAACCACCCACAGATAACAGTACATACAAGCAAGCGTCGTCAGGCAGGCCGGGTCAATATCAATAGGGCAGGTAGGTACAGGGGGAGCAAGCGGAGATTGGTCGGGGTCACAGGCCAGGTTCAGCAGGTAGCAAGCAGCGTAGTACAGAGGGTCAGGCAGAGGGATGGTCAGGGTCACAAGCCAGGGATCAGAACAGGTAGCAAGCAGCGTGGTACAGAGGGTCAGGCAGAGGGAGGGTCAGGAGCGAGCCGGGATCAGAGAGCAGGAGAAGTCAGCAGCGGTTCAGAAACAGGATGCAGGACAGACACAGGATACAGGGCCCAGGACAAACACAACACCAAGGCAGAGTCTGCAAGTCTGGCCATCCCTTAAATACCCCAGCATAATCAGTTCCAGGTGTTAGCTGGCTGCAAAGTTGAGTCTCTGATTGCTGGGAGCATCCGCTGGCCAGCCCTGGTACTCCAGATCAAAAGGCAGGTGAGTCCCACCATTGTTGGCCAGTCCATTCCTGACACCCAGGACTTTGGCATGTGGGGTGGAAGTGATGGTGGCGTTGTTAGTAGTGATGGAGAGGATGGGGGGGGGGGTGCCGGGGGGGGGAAGACCAGGAGCTCGGTTTTGGACAGGTTTAATTTCAGGAAATGGAGCGACATCCAGTCTGATATGTCTTTCAGGAGGTGGGTGAGAGGGGGGGGGTGGAGAGGTAAATTTGTGTGTCGTCGGCGTAGAGGTGGTAATTGAAGCCTTGGGAGTGTATTAGTTTGCCAAGGGACGAGGTGTAGATGGAGAAGAGAAGGGGCCCAAGGACAGAGCCTTGGGACTCTGACAGAGAGGGGGAGTGAGGGGGAGGTGGCAGTGTTATAGGTGACGCTGAAGGAGCGTTGGGATAGGTAGGAGGAGAACCAGGAGAGAGCAGAGTCCCTGATGCCAAGCGAGTGTAGTTTAGTAAGGAGGAGAGGGTGGTCGACAGTGTCGAAGGGCCGCGGAGAGGTCAAGGAGCAGGAGGACAGAGTAATGGCCATTAGCTTTGGCGGTTAGCAGGTCGTTGGTGATTTTAAGTAGGGCGGTTTCGGTGGAGTGTAGGGGATGGAAGCCAGACTGTAGAGGATCAAGGAGGTTGTTATCAGTGAGGTGGGCGCTTAGGCGATTGTAGGCCAGGCGCTCAAGGGGCTTTG